AATTGTAAGTTTTAAAAATTCTTGGATTAATAATGGTTTAATACTATAAATTTACACATTTCATAGTTATAGTTACCTGCATATTCTATTATTAGTTAACATTACCTATTATTATTTAATTCATATATGCTCTAGAGTCACTAAAGTTATGGTATTTTGTAACTCTTTTATTAATTTTTTTTCTATTCTCTTTATACTTTTGTTAAGTGCTACATTTCAGCCATTCACATGCCTTGAATCTGCATTAGGGTCCAGAATCTGGCAATAACTTATTTATTGCACTCAGATTTAGCGCGGGGTTTGCATTTTCAAGTGCAATTTTTAGGTAAGTTAACTATATTTTGTAATGGATTTAGATATTCCTATCCATTACTTTCAATAGGTTTTTGCTCAGTATTATTTACATAAAGGGGAAGGTTGGCTGGCCAAAAAACATGTTCAACCCACTTTTTTATAAATTATTTTATATATTAGCTGTCCTATGTCAGTAATGTTTATTATAGCAGCATATATACATTTTATAATTTTTATCTAGTACCCTTCATTGTATGATCTCTTTACTGTCTCTGTGTTTATTTCGAATGCTATTGATGTATGTTTATCTCTTATTTGTAGAGAAGTAGAGAATTAGACTATATATATATACATATATATATATATATATATATATATATATATATATATATATATATATATAGTATTTAAAATCAAAACGTTACTTTTTTTATTCTTTAAGAACTGAAACAGTATTCTACATTTTGTCTGAAAAATAATTGATATTAATCAATTACATTTGTATATTTTCAAAAATTGCTTGAATTTTTCGAGCACAGTACATCTTTCTAAGACTTGTTCACAGATACTAAAAGTAATGCTGATTAATATGCTTATAGCCTAAATTATCATTGTTTGAAATTCTATGACCGATTTAGGTTGAATACTGTAGAATAATTTTCTATTGTATCCAATCTTTCCTTCAAAAACTAATAAAAAAAGATTAATTTCTTCATTCAAATTTAAATTTGAATTGAGGTTTAAAAAATATTTTTGAATGTGCTTGGAATATTTACTTACTGCATTTGTTTTGAAGTTTTTTTTTTATATTTCTTTGATAGAGATGTGTTCTTTCAAAACATAGTCAGAAAAATACTTATTACGCATCGTATAAATAATTATTCAGCATTTTTTTAAATTTGCAATCAACAGAGAGGCAGTTTATAAAGGCATAGTTCTGTTTATTTAAAAATCTTGAGTTTTTTAATGGGATTTTAAAATTCAAACTATAGAAAATTTATCAAAAAAGTAATTTTTTCAGTTTGTAAAAATATAAAAAAGTACGTGAATTACATTTTTTTTTTTTGTATATTTTAAAGTAAAAGAGAGAAGAAATTAGGAATTCATTCTCTCTCTTTTTCGAAACATTGTCAGGAAAATGCACTAAACATCGTATAATTATTCAGCACATAAGAAATAGGTAATAGGTAAATTGCAGTTTTCTTTTAGGTTTTAAAAGATATATTTCACTGCATGTTCATTTTACAGAATTTAAAATCAATACAATTAATTAATTCAATGTCATAGAAGAAAAATTTAATTGGCAAAACTCAATAAAATACCTCGACTATTCATAAAGCAGAGATATGTACCATAGATGGGAAACGTGCGGTCTATAAGTGATTGACTTCAGCGGTCTTCTCTCATTAAAACTAACTATTAATTAATGTTCACATATATATTTAGAAAATAACTTAAAATAACTTGAAATTTTTGTAGAATTGAATAAAGAACAGAATAAAATGTAATTTTCAGTAGTTACTGTAGTGGTTATATAAAACCAAATGTATATTTCAAATGATGGCATATTACATTGTGCAAAATGGCACCGCTACCGGACATACGTTATCTTTGATCCATACACAAAACTATTTTCTTAATATTAATGCTCGTAAAAAGATCATTATGGGCGTGTTCTTCACACTTGCACCAAGCTAATAGTAATGAAGTTATATTACCAAGATGTTATTGTATCTCCAGCAATTATAAGCAATCTGAACATATTATTTATTACGTTTTTTACCCCTTTCATGTCAAATTTCCGTAAAAGAAAATTAAATGAAAAAAAAAATCAATGATATAAAAAAATTAAGTCAATTCCTATCTAGGTCAACAAAGAAAATTTTTATCTTAGTTACTCTTTATTAAATAGTTACAATTAATATAAATTGATATAGACATGTCAGTACCGCAATATTAAGTGACAAAATAGAAAGCCATTTTCTCTTTTCCTTTCTATGTATGGTGTTGAACTATTTTTGGCTTTTTTATTACTATTTATTCATCAATTAAATTTAATTATTTTAATAAAATGGTGTAATGAAAAAAGAAATCTATTTCTCAAAAATCAGGCCATCCCAGGTGGGATTCGAACCCACGACCTTTGGATTAGGAGTCCAACGCGCGCAAACCATTTCGCTACAGGAACACAACAAACGATATTTCTTTCTATATATGCCGTTCAGCTTATATTTTTGTTTGTTGCTATTTATTCATTTTTTAATTTAATTAAGGATTTAATATTTGAAAAAAAATGTATTAACATCAAATGCCATCAACTACAAGTTTTAAAGAATATATTTAAACTTAAAGGGATGAATAGTGAGTATTTTAGTAATGATTGAAAATTTTAACAACATATATTTATATATATATAGGGAGAGAGTGAACTAATAGCAGAAATTGAAAAAGGAGTTCTTTTTATTTCGAATATGCGTTATATCAAAATAAAATCAAAATAAGTTACTGTGTTTTCCTATGAGAAGTCTAGCCTAAGGATTATGTTACCCCTTTATTAAATTTACAGATTTTTCAGTTTAATATTGGATTACGAGTTTTCGTATTTTTGAAGAAGAATATGCGCGACATAATATTGAAAATGCAAAGAATTAGCCAGAAATTGAAGAAACTTTGCAAAAAGAGAAATGCATCAATGAACAATAAGTTTATTTTGTAGTTTGGTGGGGGAGGGGCACAGTTAGTTCTTTCGAGCCTTCATCACCATTCAGGACATTTTGGATGGTAATTTTTAAATCATATCATAATTCTGAATCAATCTAAAGCAATACTTAATGCAATAAATTTGAAATAAATTTGTTTAAGAAAAATTGTTTTTCGTAATTTAAAAAAGAAATGTAGCTAGTATGAATAAACTAATTCGATATTAATTAAAGGTTAGTTCCATGTTATTTCAAGATCAATGCAATATTTTAGAAAATTGAGCAACTACGAATAGAAATTTCTAAATAAGGGTGCTACAGCCCATTTTTATTTGAAATAGAATTTAAAAAATAATTTGAGTCTCCACAGAAAAAAATCTGACTGATCTTTTTTGAAAATAAGAATAAACTAATTGAACAATATTTCAATTGGAGAGTAAAGTGATTTTGAAATGATTTCCGGAAAATTAGGAACAAATTATCCTTAATTTAACATAACATAACTTCGTAAATAGTTAAATAAATATAATTTTTACTTATAATATTTTTATTTCATATAGAAAACTTTTTATTCATATTCAATGCAGTCATTTAAAATTTAACTTTACTCTTTCACCCGATGTTACGCTTACCTCACATCTTGATGGAATGGAATTGACGCTGAAACTGAAAGGCAAAAAGTACGAAGGATATTTCAAACGCAAAATCAAATAAGGCTGGTCGGTAGAAACAACGCACTTAAGCGGCAGTCGTAACCTCATTCCCAGATAAATTAAACAATAATGGTGGATTCTGAACGATCCACGAGGATGAACCGTAGAGGAATCAGTTTTTTCCTCAGAGCTTCCTAAAACTTACACAATAGAAATATTAGAGTGTGTCTTCTGCCTCCTAAACTGTCATTTAATTTTCTGGGAAAATTCGTAGGATTGTGGATCGAAATCGGAAAATTTAACTTAAATGCTATGCTATTTTTCTTCTTCGTCGATACCAAAAATATTATGAAACAAACTGATAATAGTAAGTGATTTCACATCTCAAAATGTTTTGTAACTTTTGCACGCTGCATGAAACAAAATTTGGTTAATTCCTTCACATATTATGAAAATAAATTTGTGAGATGGAAAAAACATTCATAAGATTCAATGTGTGCTTTCATCTCCTGTTAAAATAAAAATATTTGAACCTATTCCTATTTTTATACAAATTAGAGTACCATCAACTGATAAATAATGATTTCCTTTTTATTAGTATCGACAAAGTAGCTGAAAGTGTGTGGATTCAAATCATATTTAGGAGAAGTTATTAAGTGGGGTTGCATTCAAGGAAAGGGTTCCACACAAATTTTTCTTACACATTCTGAAATAACACAAAAGGAAAACATATTCATATTAATCTACATTAGTACACGATTATATAAAATCGTTATGTGTGTGCTTTAAAAAATTTATACTAAGCTTTATTTTCTATCTTCGTTTGTAAATAAGAGACACTTTAAATTTAACTAAGATTTGAATCTGTACAATTGCTTAAATGAATCTTAATTTCCTTACGGGGCAGAAATTAAATTTCACTGAAACTACTATCTGGATATTGATCCTCCTGATATGTCGCATACTCTTATTTTATTATATTTTTTGTAAAAAAAAATAATGCAATATACTTTTATTAATGATGTATTTTTCACGTATTTGAAAGTTCAGTTTAGATAAGGAGAACGAAAGAGTTAGAAAAAAAAATAAAGTAAAATTATTGAATTGCTGGTAAATATCTCACTTCCAGTAATTGGTCAGAGCTTTTCAAATGATATGCAAATTAATAATCAAACTCATGAATGCATTATATATTCAGGCGTTCAAGAATTAATCCATTCAACTATAAGTATTTTAAATATTAACAGCTATAAGAACAAAATTAAAGTGAAACAACCAAAAATCGAATCAAAAGATTTGTGATCTTAAGGAGAAAAAAGTCGAGTTTAATGAGTGCTAAATTAAATCAAATAATGGGTTCTTGATTTTATATCGAAAGCAGAAAAAGATCTGAATTGTAGTTTGTAGTTTGGTGGGGGGAAGAGCACTTAGATAATTCAAACATTCATCTCCTTTCAGGACATTTGGATGACATTAAAACGCTTTCAAATTGCCCTTTTTAATAAATAATAATTAAAACTTAAAAACATGCAAAGAAAAATAGTAGAAAGAGAAATTACTTTGATATAAATAAATTTTCAAATATAAATAAAATAAAGCTGAAAAAGGATGATAAAAGAACTTTACTCAGAAAAGATTTATTTTTTTCCGTGAGGGAGTGAGAGGAGCGATACCTAGATAATCTGGTTGCAGCGAAGGAGTCCGAGTTAGACAGATTTTAAATTTTAAACTCAAAATTTAAGTCTAAGCTTTTGAAAGCACTTAACGTGATACAAAAAATAACATTAAAAAATAGTTGTTCGTTACTTCAAAGTCTAAAGCACCCTCTACTGACATTTTTTAAGCTTTATCTAAAATTTATTTTTTAAGAAAGTACTGACAAAAATAATAATTTTAGTGAAAGCCGCTAACGAATCGACCCCTTTTTCCGTTTTTTACAATCATTTGAAATTTCGGAAACTAAACTTTAATGGCGCCGATCTCCTTCGGAAGACGTTTGGGACCCTAAGTTTCCTATTTACTATTGTTTGTCTTGATGTGTACTATCACCCCTTAAAGTTTTGCCTTAGAGTTTAGATACACCCTGTATAATCTTCTCGGATTTTCTCGAAAAATCTGTTTGCGTCATAGATTGTAATATTAGTAGATTTCTTCCATAATTTCCAGAAAAATCCACATGGTTGCCAAAATTGATACCAACTTGGCTCGATCGCCAACATTTTGGCAAGTTTCCATTGAAACGACATTATAAGGCAAGGAACGGCGTTGCTTGCGAATATTACAATTTAGCAGAAAATAAGTACTACAGAGAATAATATTAACATATTACATATCCAGATATAAATTTTTTACACTATTTTTAGCACTAAAATATATAAAATTCGTAACACTTCCCTCTCCTCAAAGACTGCACGTCCCGGGCAGTACTATCCCTCGCTAAAAGGCATTTATTTACAGGAATAAAATATTCCCACAATAATCAAATATAAAGTAACAAATACTCAACAGCTCATAAATTCAAAATATATGATCAAATACTAATATAAATTACAAAACTAAGGAGTTCGAAAAGAGAAATAATTTGTATTATAGTTAGGAAATAAATTGTGATCATGGTCTGAGCTCAAGGATCTTATTCACCTTGTCCAAAACAAGACTAGCCTACTGTAATGTATTGCTTTCGGTTTTGAATGTGGTGATTTCTGTATCCATCCCATGATGTCATTCAGTCTTTTACAATTGTATAAGGACCTTCCCAGTTGGTCTGCAACTTCTGAGAGAGTCCTTTGCAAAGTTTTGGATTCCACAATCACTCTGTCACCTTCGTGAAAGTCGTGTCCCGTTGCTCATGAATCGTATCAGCTTTACATCTTCTCTGAAGCCATGCTGATTCCATTCCTGACCAGATGATGCATCTCCGTCATCCGTGCTTGAAGTTTCTCGACATACTCCTCAGGCATCAAGGGAGCATCTAAAGAGTGTTTTTTTCCAGGTATAGAAGTTTAAGTTGGCATTACTTTCCAAGATGGCGACCAATTTAACAGCTGTCAAGTGATTTATTCTCAGTTTGGTTTGACAATTCATCATGAATAGACTCACGCCTGAACAACGCTTTCAAATTGTGCAATTTTATTTCGAAAATAATGGTTCTGCGTGGAATACGTATCGCGCACTACTTCCATTTTATCGTCGACAAAATCGTCCATCAGAGCAATTAATTCGATTAACCATGGAACGTTTTTGCACCACGTTTACTCTAATTGATAACTAGCATCCCCAGAGACGCCGTACGGTGCGTACAGAAGAAGCTATTGCTACTGTAGAGCGTAGCATTGAGGAAGACCCGAATGAGTCCATCCGCCATCGAGCACAGGAATTGGATATGTGTCCATCCACTTTATGGAAGATTTTGCGGAAGGATCTTGGTTTCCGTGCTTACAAAATCCAACTCGTGCAAGAATTGAAGCCAAACGATCATCAAGCAAGGCGTAGATTCGTCGAATGGGCCCAAAACGAGATTGCCGTTGTTCTCGATTTTCATAAGCGAATTTTGTTTAGCGATGAAGCGCACTTCTGGTTGAATGGCTACGTCAACAAACAAAACTGCCGAATTTGGAGTGAAGCTAATCCACAAGTGTATGTCGAAACACCGTTACATCCAGAAAAACTGACTGTTTGGTGCGCTTTATGGGCTGGTGGAATCATTGGTCCGTACTTCTTCAAAAACGATGAACACCACAACGTTACAGTCAATGGTGATCGGTATAGAGCCATGATTACTAACTTTTTCATTCCTGAATTGAACAATCATGATGTCCAGGAGCTGTGGTTCCAAC